CCAAGAGTTGGCATTAATGGTTTCGTAGCAGTCCCAGTGACGCAAGGTTATGGGATCCTCGTTTCTCCAGTGACAGAACTGAAGTCAGCCAGAATAAGTCACTTGCCAGGTCCCACTGGAAGGAGTCTTAAGCTCTAAGAAGCAAGGCCCTGTTCACAGCTTACCCTTAGGATAGGCCACTTAGTTGGTTAAGTAACAAAAGTACTGGGAATACTGTAATTAAATTGTCATTAACATAGCAGTGTGTGTTTCTTTCCTCTACAATGGGGCATTCATGGAGATAGTCTGAGAAGGTAGGGTGACTAGGTCTACATAGTGGACTCTGGGGGGAGTGGGCACGGAAGCATTTGAATGCCCATTGTGTTATTGCTGTTATTGCAGCGCGCGCGCGCGCGCACACACACACACACACACACACACACACACACTGCAAAAAGGCACTGGGTGCGGCCTAACTTACTCCATCTTGTTCCTCACTAGCTAAAGCTTGTGGTGGTACCCTGAAGATGTACTTTGGGATCATTTGAACCTCTTTCTATCTGTTCTAATGAACCACATTCATTAACTCTCCCTTCTGCTTTCTGTCAGTACTCATGTTTAGAGGTATTGGAGGGGGGTGTTTGTTTTGGTGTGTGCGTGCGTGTGTGTGTGTGTGTGTGTGTGAGAGAGAGAGAGAGAGAGAGAGAGAGAGAGAGAAAGAGAGAGAGGGGGGGAGGGAAGGAGGGAGGGAGGGATGGAGGGAGGGAGGGAGGGAGGGTGCACAGGCACACAGGTGTCTGAGGAGGTTAGAAGAGGGTATGAGTCCTGGATGCCCCAAGCTGGAGGCCCTGGGAACAGAATCCAGAAAAAGCCTTATATGCTTTCCACAACTGAACCATCTCTCCAGCCCCAGGCACTAATTTCTTTAATTGATATTTTGGGACCAGTGACAGGACATAGCTTCTTGGGGTTGTTGGAGTCAGGCTTTTGCCCTAAAACGCTGGCTACAGATATAACCATGTAAAGGAGGAAGGTGGGCTGCATTTAGGTTGAAGTTTACAGTCACTGCGGTAGCTTCTCTGACTAGACCAAGGAGAGCCTATCTGGGGAGTTGTACCTATAAGCTCACAGAAACCTGCTGCCTTTGCCTGCCAAGAGCTGGCATGAAAGACATACACCCTGACACCCAGCTTTTCCTCAAGCTCCACGCCTGGCTTTCCCCTGAATTTTCATTATGTTTTCATACTGCTTTAAAATTCTTTACAGATAGCATGCCTGGCTTGGTATGTGCCAGGGTGAGGGTGAGAGGTAGGAGGGGCAGGCGACGGAGGGAGCATTAGGAGGGTGAAGCTGCAAAGTTAGAGCACAGGGAAGACGGTGCCCACCTCTAGCTTTTGTCTGGGATTAATTTTTAGGGCAGTGACTGGATCTCTTTGTTGGGGGTTGAGTCTTAGAAGGAGACCATCCTGTCCTGTGGTATGGGAAGTCCTTCTGTATATGTGCTGCCTTTATTGGTTAATAAAGAAGCTGCTTTTGGCCAATGGCTTAGCATAATATTGCCAGGCTGGAAGAGCTATAAATATAGAGAGAGTAGGCAGAGTCAGGGAGATGCCATGGAGCCACCAGAGGGGAAAGACACAAGGTGCTAGCTGGAACCTTGCTGGTAGGCCATGAGCCCTGTAGTAAAATATAAAATAATGGAAATAGGTTAATTCTAGATGTAAGAGCTAGCTAGCAATATGCTTAAGTGATTGGCCAAGCAGTGTTTTAAATAATATAGTTTCTGTGTGATTATTTCAGGTCTGGGCAGCTGGGAACTAACAAGCGGCCTCCTACTACAGTCCCGTGGCATGAAAATGACTGTAGGGGAGAGGGATTGTCCTGAGCCAGCCTCCAGAGAGCCACTCCCAGGCCCCATCCATTTGGACCAGCGGTTCCCAGCCTTCCTAATGCTGTAACCCTTTAATATATATGATAGCCAGCCCCCAAGGAGGTCGAGACACAGGCTGGGAACCACTGATCTAGACTAATGTAATACCATGACCTACTCACCTTTGCATCTTAAAGTGACAAAGATGCCATCAACCCTCTGGCCAAAGCTACTTTGGGGAGACACAATTCCCCTGTCACCTCAGTCTTCTCTCCAACAGAGGAGCCTTGCAGTCTCTGACTATTAGGCTCCACTTGACATCCTATGTTATTGTCTGGGGTATGGCTTGGAATTCCCATGCCTAGAGTTTTTAGAGGTCCTTCACTGCTCCTTGAGGTTTTTGCTCCAAGAGCCAAGGCTGAGGTTTATGATTGCCAGGTTGCCCAGGATCTGGGGCATAGCACAGGTTAATATGAGAATGGTAGCCTCACTGTAAAAACTCATGTAAGCCAGTTTGGTGGTGGTGGTGGCACACGCCTTTAACCCCAGCACTCAGGAAGTAGAGACAGGTGGATCTTTGTGGGTTTGAGGCCAGCCTGGTCTACAAAGCAAGTTTCAGGACAGGTTCCAAAGCAACGCAGAGAAACCCTGTCTTGAAAAACAAAACAAAAACACCAGGCTCCTAATTGCCCCCCCTCCCAAAAAAAAACGATCTAAGTCAGTCAAAATGGTGCACACCAGTAATCCAAGCACTCAGGAAGCCAAGTTAGGGGTAAGGGGGATTTCAATTTTAAGAGCATCTGGACTTCATAGGGAGGCTTTATTTTTTTTTATTTATTTAAGCTGGGTGTGAGGGTTGGGAGGGGGTGTCTCTCTACATAGCCATGGCTATTCTAAAACTCACTCTGTAGGCCAGGCTGTTCTGAAACTCACAGAGATGCCCCTGCCTCTGTCTCCCGAGTGCTGGGATTAAAGGCACACACCACCCCAACCAGCTTTGACACTCAGTATATACATGATACCAGGTCATCTTATTTTTGCTTTTTTTTTTTTTTGTTTCAGAGTCTCCCTGTGTAGCCCAGAACAATGTCCTGCCCCAGCCTCATACATGCTGGTCTTACAGCCAGCAACATGCACTCTTTCTAAAGGAATGGTCCTAGAGACACATGCATGGAGTTTGACTGTGGTGCTAACTGACGACGAAGGCCAGAAGAGGTGTTCGTTTCTGTTGTCGTGAGAGAACACCCTGACTAAAATCAGCTTAGTGAAGAAAGGATTTGATTTTAGCTCAATCCGAGGTCACAGCCGGTCATTGCAGGGAATCGAGGCAGGAATGTGAAACAGGCCCATAGGAGAAGGCAGAACCTAAGCGTATGTCAACTGCGCATTCCCTGACAGGTCTCTCCACCCACACAATCTGGGATTCATCCCTACCTCTTCCTTTGAGGTAGGATCTACAGGGCTCAAGTTTTCTTGGCTAAGCTGAGGCCAACAAGTCTTAGCAATCTTGTCTCTGCCCCACTGTTTGGTTTTTTTTTTGTTTGTTTGTTTGTTTTGCTTTTTTTGTATTTTTTTTTTTTGGCAGGGTTTCTCTGTGTAAGAGTCCTGGAATTTGCTTTGTAGACCAGGCTGGACTCAAACTCACTAAGATCCACCTGTCTCTGCCTCCCAAAAGCTAGGATTAAAAGCACGCACTACCACTGCATGACTCTTTTTTTTTTTTTTCAAGACAGGGTTTCTCTGTGTAGCCTTGGCTGTCCTGGGGAACTCACACTCCTTGTGTAGACCAGGCTGGCCTTGAACTAGCAGCAATCTGCTTAAGGCAAGCAGTCTTAATTCATGAGCCATCTCTCCAGCCCCGCCAAGGATTTTTCTCTTCAAAACTGCACATATGGGGGAAACACTAAAGTGTTTTACAGAAGCCTGATACTAAATGTTATCAGATTTTTGTTTTCTTTTCCTTTTCTTTTTCTTTTTTTGGTTTTTTGAGACAGGGTTTCTCTGTGGCTTTGGAGCCTGTCCTGGAACTAGCTCTGTAGACCAGGCTGGTCTCGAACTCACAGAGATCTGCCTGCCTCTGCCTCCAAGGTGCTGGGATTAAAGGCGTGCGCCACGACTGCCTGGCTTAATGTTATCAGTTTTTATGAAAAATGTAACTTGCAAGAAAAATCTAAGTTGAAGTTATAAATTAAAAGTTGAAACACACCATTTTTTATATTTTTATGTTGATTTTTAATTATTTTCAAGGTCACCATTTTTTTGGTTTGTTTTGAGGCAGGGTTTCTGTTTCCTTGGCTGACATGGAACTTGCTTCGTAGACCAAACTGACCTCAATCTCTCTGCCTCTGCCTCCCAGACGTTGGGACTAAAGCAAAGAGAAGCATACATTCCACAAACCCCACTGAGGTCTATCTGAAGGGCTGATAACCAGAGACAACTATTACAGGGAATTTTCCCATCCATACTTTTCCTTTAAATTAGTACGTTTTGTATATCCACGTAAATTCTAGTAGTATACCTTTTTAACTTTAAAATGACATGTATTTACGTGTGTGCACACCTATCCTTGCAGCACGGCACATGTGTGGTGGTCAGAGGACAACTTGCCTGGGAGTCAGTTCTCTCCTGCGACCGTGTGGGCCCTGGGTATGGAGCCAGAGTTATCAAGTTTGGTGGCAAGTACCTTTACCTTTGAAGACATCTTGCTAGCCCCTCAAGGGGAATATTTTTAAATTTCAGTTGCTTTCGGATCATAAAAGGATCTCTCATTTTTTCTACAAGGAAATTGCTTCATTCCCTTAGTTATATGGCCAAAACGATGTTGTGTGTTAATCCATTTTCCTATGGCCATCGCCCTGGCCCAGAGTATGCTGGAAGAGGCGAGGGGAACCATGACCTGCAGAGGTGGAGGGGAGGCGAGGGGAACCTTGACCTGCAGAGGTGGGTATCGATAATGGGTGTAGGTTCGCAGGGCTTCTCATTGCCTTCACATCCATCCACCCATCACACCATCCTTCTACTCCTTCTTTCCTCTCTCCCTCCGCGAAGGAACCGCAGCCTCCAAGCCTACCTTCTCACCACCTCCACACAAAGCTAACACCCCTAGGCCCCACCCCCACAGCCCTTTTACGTCATCTCCCAGCACCGGAAGTGTGTCCGGCGGCGGGCGGGAGGCTCGCGGATCGCCATATAGGTCCGCTTGCCGGCATGAGCGATGAGCTGGCTGCTGCCGCTGTCCCACACCGTGACGCTGACCGTCGTGCACGTGAGGCGAGGCATTTGCGGGCTTGGGATGTTCTATGCGGTGAGGAGAGGCCGCAAGACCGGCGTCTTCCTGAGCTGGTGAGACGGAGCCGGGTGGAGCCCTTTCTTCATTCTAAACAGCAAACGGCTTGTCGAGTTCTCCTGTGTTGCAGGCAAAGACTTAAAGAGAATGCATAATCATTGCAGACCAGAATTTACACAAGGGTTCCCGAGTGCTGATCGTTCCTGTGGGTGTTTTGTTTGTGAGACAGGACCCCCTGTACCAACTTGAACTTACGGTCTTTCTGCCTTCACTCCCTATATTCAGGGGTTGCAGATAGACAAGCAGCTAGCTTATCTGCATCCTCAGCTCCTCCTGTTTTAAACAGGGTAATCGGGTGGTGCCAATTGTTTGTAATCTCCGTACTGGTGAGTCTGAGGCAGGAGCATCAAATTAGAGGTCAGCATGGTCTGTGGAAGGAAACCTCACAGAGAGGAGAGGAGGAAGGAGCCGAGAGATGGGAGAGTCTCAAGCTGGAAGCTAGTCTTTGCCTTTGGATCCTTGTAGCAGCCCTTGAAGACAGATGATGTCTTCAGTATCATGGTAGGGTATGTGGCAGAATCAGGGCTTGAACCCAGGTTTGGGCCTATATGACAGTAAACTTCTGATGTCAAGGTTTGTTGTCCCTGTCTGTGCACCTGTGTATTTCCCTGGGCTCAGCAGCGACAGTACTGAGGAAGAAATGTCTCCAAAGAGAATGCTTTTTCTGTGATTGGAATTTTTGTTTGTTTGTTCTGGTTTGGTTTTTGGTTTTTTGAGACACGGTTTCTTTTTGTAACCTTGGTTGTCCAGGAACTAACTCTGTAGACCAGGCTGGCCTTGAACTCACATAGATCTGTCTGCCTCAGCCCCCAGAGCTCTGAGATTAAGGGGGAATGCCACCACTGCCCGACTTGATTGATTCTTAAAGATTAACAAAATTTTAGTATGCAGTGAAGTTGTGGAAGACCCTATGATATTAGTGTACCTCCTGGATGGCATTTAGCAGAATGGGCTGGCCAGTCTTAACACTGAAAAGGGAGCTAAATTGTGAGGTATATTATGCAGACCGAAAAAGAGTTATTAAAAATGAAACAGTGTGGAGGAACACTATATCATGCTAAGAGAAAAGAGGTTGAAATGGTCCACAGTGTGTGTTTCCAATTACATGGCATCCTGGAACAAATGCAGAGATTGCTGCACAAGTCAGTGTTTTTAGGGTTAGAACCGAGGGAGGGATGAATGTGAGAACAAACAGGTTTTGTTTGGAGACAGACTGGCCTTGAACTGGCTATAAATCCAAGATGACCCTGAACACCTGATCTTTTGTCTCCACTTCCCAAATGCTGGCATGATGGGCGTGTACTCCCAAACCAAGGTGGTTTTGGTTGCGATTTTTGAGACAGGGTTTCTAAACTGCACTGGCTGGCCTAGACCTGTATATAGATTAGGGTGGTGTTGAGTTTGGTGATCCTCCTGCCTTGCCTCTAGAGTGTGGGATTATAGGCATGCATCCCCCCCCACACACACACACCTGCAGGCTCCAGGCGGGGATTTCTCAGGCATGAGGTTGTTCAGACTGGTGTGGTAACGTGGACCCACGTCACCGTCATTGTGCATCCACTAAGCCTGTAGACGTCACAGCATCGTCAGTGAGCCCCAGTGGAAGCAATGGGCTAGGAACTTCTGGAGGCAGAGGCGTACAGAACTCTGGACTTTCTGTTCCCTTTTTTTTCTCTTCCTGTTTTATGTGGCCGTGAAACTTCTGTAAAACAGGACACTGGCCAGGTGGCGGTGGTGCATGCCTTTAATCCCAGCACTCGGGAGGCAGAAGCAGGTGGATTTCAGTGAGTTCGAAGCCAGCCTGGTCCTACAGAGTGAGTTCCAGGACAGGTTTTGTTTTCTTTTTCTTTCTTTTTTTTTTTTTTTTTTGGTTTTTCGAGACAGGGTTTCTCTGTGGTTTTGGAGCCTGTCCTGGAACTAGCTCTTGTAGACCAGGCTGGTCTCGAACTCACAGAGATCCGCCTGCCTCTGCCTCCCGAGTGCTGGGATTACAGGCGTGCGCCACCACCGCCCGGCTGTTTTCTTTTTCTTTTGGTTTTTCGAGACAGGTTTTCTCTGTGGCTTTAGAGCCCGGCTCCAGGACAGGTTTCAAAGCTACAGAGAAACCTTGTCTTGAAAAACCAAAAATAAATAAATAAATAAATAAAATTAAGTTAAAAAAAAAAACAAATGGAGATGTAAATTGGAGAGGGATTGGGCTGATGTATGCTGGAGATGTAAATTGGAGAGGGATTGGGCTGATGTATGCTGGAGATGTAAATTGGAGAGGGATTGGGCTGATGTATGCTGGAGATGTAAATTGGAGAGGGATTGGGCTGATGTATGCTGGAGATGTAAATTGGAGAGGGATTGGGCTGATGTATGCTGGAGATGTAAATTGGAGAGGGATTGGGCTGATGTATGCTGGAGATGTAAATTGGAGAGGGATTGGGCTGATGTATGCTGGAGATGTAAATTGGAGAGGGATTGGGCTGATGTATGCTGGAGATGTAAATTGGAGAGGGATTGGGCTGATGTATGCTGGAGATGTAAATTGGAGAGGGATTGGGCTGATGTATGCTGGAGATGTAAATTGGAGAGGGATTGGGCTGATGTATGCTGGAGATGTAAATTGGAGAGGGATTGGGCTGATGTATGCTGGAGATGTAAATTGGAGAGGGATTGGGCTGATGTATGCTGGAGATGTAAATTGGAGAGGGATTGGGCTGATGTATGCTGGAGATGTAAATTGGAGAGGGATTGGGCTGATGTATGCTGGAGATGTAAATTGGAGAGGGATTGGGCTGATGTATGCTGGAGATGTAAATTGGAGAGGGATTGGGCTGATGTATGCTGGAGATGTAAATTGGAGAGGGATTGGGCTGATGTATGCTGGAGATGTAAATTGGAGAGGGATTGGGCTGATGTATGCTGGAGATGTAAATTGGAGAGGGATTGGGCTGATGTATGCTGGAGATGTAAATTGGAGAGGGATTGGGCTGATGTATGCACTCTTCCAGGAGGGAGTGCAGAGCGCAGGTGGACCGGTTTCCTGCCGCCAGGTTTAAGAAGTTTGCCACAGAAGATGAAGCTTGGGCCTTTGTCAGGAACTCTTCAAGCCCAGAGGGCTCAAAGGGTATGTAACATTAGTATGGTATTTTAACCTATGAACAGCCCCTTGATTCCCCAACATCACTGCGTCAGCTTCCGTAGAGGAGATAAAATGATTATCTATTTGTCTTTCCCTGTATAGATTAGAGTTAAGAATAGTGGTTCAAGCCAGGTAATGATGGTGCATGGCTTTAATCTGGGCACTCGGGAGGCAGAGCCAGGCAGATTTCCTAGTTCGAGACCAGCCTGGTTCCAAGACAGCCAGGGCTACACAGAAATTCTGTCTCCAAAAAAAAAAAAAGTCATTCAGAGACTAGAGAGCTGACTCAGAGGACCAGAGTTTGATTCTTAGTGCCCATGTGGGGTGACTCACAACCTCCCGTAGCTCAGGAGGGATGGATGCTCGAACACATACACAATTAAAAGTAAATCTTTTACAAGGAATAGTGTGGTTCAGCCAGGTGTGTATGGTGCCTAGGACTGGAAACTGAAGGCATACTATGAAGGGACATCAGATTTAGAGCACACGCATGACTCAGGTGAGCAAGCTGACTCTAATTGAGAACATGCGACAAACAAACAAACAAACAAACAAAAACCTACATCTGAAGCCCTTGGGAAGTTTCAAGACCTTTTTATTTATTCATCCCTTTATTGCTATTTATTTTCAGAGGGAGCCTTGGACTCTCTGGAGCTCCTACAGGGCCAGAGTCTGGGATGGTTCGTTCTTAGTCGTTCCTTCTCAGCAGGGCTACATCCAGAGTGCCCTAGTCTGGTTCATGTACTCTCTGGTTTTGGGTCATGGTCAGAATCTCTTTCAGGGCAGGAAACTGCACATGTGAAGACCAGCAAGCGGCCTTGGGAGCCTCTGAATGAAGGGGAAGAACTGCCCGAGCCAGGGGCAAAGCACACCAAACGGAACACGGAACACATTGAACCTGATCCCCCAGTGAGCAAGGACATGTTTTCTTATATGGGTATGCCTTTCTCAGGTTCAATTTTTTTGTTTTTGTTTTCCGAGAGGGTTTCTCTGTGTAGCTTTGGAGCCTTCCTGGAACTAGCTCTTGTAGACCAGGCTGGCCTCAAACTCACAGAGATCCGCCTGCCTCTGCCTCCCTAGCGCTGAGATTAAAGGCGTGTGCCACCACTGCCTGGTGGGTCCAAAATTTTTAATTACAGTTACAAAAAAAGAACAGTCAGCATGAAATCTTTTTCTTTCTAAGTGAGAGGAATTTAAGCTCTTTGTTTTATTGTTGGTGGTGGTTTTATTGAGACAGGGTCTCAGTGTTTAGCCCTTGAAGTCTCGAACTTAGAGATCTTCCAGCCCACAGCCCCCCAGTGCTGGAGTTAAGGATATAGGCAGCCAGTGTAAAATTTAAGCTGATTTTTGTCCTATTTTTTTTTCTTCTGTAAATATTCTCTAGAAATTTCTGAGGTCTTTTATTTTGGAGAGAGGGCATTAACAAAAAGTCCCTTTGGTTTCTTCCTCGACAGGACAGGTCTCATATCAGTGCGGTCCTACCTTTTTACCTTTTATTTTGCAGTGTGGTCCCACTGAGTTACCCAAGGTGGCATTGAACTCCCTTTGAAGCCCAGGCTAACCTTCAGCTTGCTATCCTCTTTCTTTAGCCTCCCAGCCATCTGGGTCCTTTGCAGCCAGTCCTAGCAATGAGGCCATTATTTATAGGTAATCAAATAGTGCAAAAATCATTAATCTTTTGAGAATTCTTGGGGAACCCTCACATAGCCACAGGCTGCTGAGGCAGAGGAAGGAGGAGGGCCCAGCCAGAGCTGCCTGCTAGAGCTGAGCAGTGCCAGCCTGAAGCCGTTTGTCCAACCCTCAGACCTCACCGGGTCCTGTGGAAAAGAGATCTCGTGGGCTCTTTCTGTGTTTAGCTCCAAGGGCAGCTGTGTGCTCTTAGTAACTACAGTATGTAAATTTCCTTTTGTCTTGCATGCCTGGGAACAGAGAGGCAGCATTTAAAGATGAATCAGCATGTGGCGTGTCCTGAGTTTTTGCCAAGAGGAAAAGCCATCTGTGCTTTCCCTCCAGGGATGGCGCCAGGGGTCACTGGAGCTGGGAGAGTAGACACAGTGAGAGTAGACGGGTTTGGCGGTTTCCTGAGATGAGCAGGTCCTTTCACTGCTCACTGTGCTGCACAGGTGTGTCAGCTTGACGCAGACTAGAGTCGTCTGAGAGGACGGGACCTCAGTTGGAAACGCTTCCAAAAGATCAGGCTACAGGCATTTTTTTAGAATAGTGATTGGTAGAGAAGGGCCCAGCCCGCAGTAGGTGGTGCCATCCCTGGGCTAGTGGTCCTGGATCCCATAAGAAAGCAGGTTGAGCAAGCTATGGGGGCAAGCCAGTAAGCAACACTCCTCCATGGTTTCTGCATCAGCTCCTGCTTTTAGGTTCCTGCCCTGCTTGGTTGAATTCCTGTCCTGACTTCCTTCAGTGATGTATGTTGACTGTGATGTTTCATCAGATTAATAGAAACCCCAACTCGATCACTCATTGGCAGGAACCTAAGGAATGAGCCATTTCCAGCTTGCCAGCTGTCACTTGGCAGTGTTTTTAGTGGCTTCAAGGAAGGTTTAGTTGTGTGGGTAGAAACCAAGTTCCAGCCTCTGCTCTTTGGGGGTTACTGGTCCCCATCTTCCCCTGAGCTTGCTGTGCTTGGGCCTGCTGTGCAGGTGGTCTCTGATGTCCCCTCTCCCACTCAGTTTCTCCTGTACTCTGCTGAGAGTGTTGCTGACCACACTCCGGCCTGACAGTGGCCCTAGGTCTGTCCTTCCCACTTGAGCAAGCCATGTTTGAAAGGAGGAAGCAGAGATGAGAACTACTTTACAGTTAGTAGCAAACGTGCTAAGAGAAAAGGTGACCCCTTGCCAGCCAGCAAACTTGGCTTTCTAGCTTATGGGGCCAGCATGCCACCAACCGTTTCTTTTTCTGGAAGGACAGCTTGAGAGTGAAAGTGACTGAGCCCGAGGGACCCCTTTAGTTTGAGGTATAAGCAGGTCTCACGGTGGGAAGTTCTGTCTTTAACTCACCTGGCATGTGGGACAAGCAAAAAGTGACTACACCCCACGGGGGGAAATCTATATCATCCTGGACAGAAAAATAAAGCGGTGGTCAGTGTTGAGCAGGTTGGTGCAGTATCCTCCCTCTTCCTCTCACAGGAGAATCTGTTATCGTCTACACGGATGGCTGCTGTTCCAGTAACGGGCGGAATCGAGCCAGAGCAGGAATTGGCGTTTACTGGGGGCCAGGCCACCCCTTGTAAGTAAACACAGCTGAGTGTGAACACCACCTTTTTACTAAGTCTTGTCAGGTTTGCTTACTGGTGCCTTCTTGGTGAAACCTGCTCCGTAAAGAGCATTGGTGGGATAGAAGAAGAGCAACTTTGATTTATATTAGTGCCAGGCAGCTTGGTTCTTGACAGTGCCAAATGCCGAGACTTGGTGTTGTTTTTCCTGTGCCTAGTTTGTACGTGTCATAACGTTTGTGTGTGTGTGTGTGTGTGTGTGTGTGTGTGTGTGTGTGTATGTATATGTAGAGGAGCCAGCCAACAGTGATGAAGGGACAGGGTGCTGGCTCAGAACCCATCCTGTCACTGACTTATTTTTCTGAGGTAGGGTTTCCTTATGTAGCTGGCCTGGCACTCATAGAGATCCTCCTGCCTCTCTCGTTCTCTCTCTTTCGCAAGTGCTGGGATTAAATGTGTGTACTACCACACTTGGTGACTTTTTTAGACTTTTGAAGATGCTTAACCTAGAGACACTCAGAAAGCACAGCCAAAGGTGTGAGCTGGACCATTCACATTTACCCAGTCCCTGCAGTGAGGGATATGGAGTGGCAGCTGTCAGCCACCCCTGAGGTTCTCTAACCAGGTTTGAGGTTCATCGGGAACTGCCGTCAGACATAGTTTGTTTATTAATTTAAAAAGTATTTTATGCCGGGCGGTGGTGGCGCATGCCTTTAATCCCAGCACTCGGGACGCAGAGGCAGGCGGATCTCTGTGAGTTCAAGCCCAGCCTGGTCTACAAGAGCTAGTGCCAGGACAGGCTCCAAAGCTACAGAGAAACCCTGTCTCGAAAAACTTAAAAAAAATAAAAATAAAAAGTATTTTATTTTTTCATTTTAAATATTTACCTGTATTCAACATATTAATTAATTCAGGTAATAAGGGTTTTGTTTTGTTTTTTTTGTTTTCACTGTGTAGCTCTGGCTGACTTGTAACTCATGGAGATTCTCTTCCCTCAGCCACTCAAGTGCTGGGATTAAAGTATACACCAAGTTGGGCAGTGGTAGTCCAGGCCTTTCAAGAAATCCTGTCAAAGTGTGCACTACCATGCCCAGCATAGCACAGCGAACTTTTTATATCTTCAACCTTGGGTCTTTTCGTTTCTTTTTCTCTTTCTTTTTCTTTTTTCTTTTCTTTTTTTTTTTTTTTGTATGTTGAGACAGGGTCTCTCTGCAACCCTGGTTGTCCTGGAGCTCTCTGTGTAGACCAGAGACTGCCCTCCAATTCACTGAGATTCTCCTGCCTCTGCCTCCAGAGTGCTGGGATTATAGGTGTATGGTTTTCTAGGTTTGTGTCGTTTGCAAAGGTTGATATTTGGACCAGGGTCTTTTTTTTTTTTTTTTTTTTTAATTTTTCGAGACAAGGTTTCTCTGTAGCTTTGGAACCTGTCCTGGAACTCACTCTGTCAACCAGGCTGGCCTCGAACTCACAGAGATCCACCTGCCTCTGCCTCCCGAGGGCTGGGATTAAAAGCATGTACCACCACCGCCCAGCCCTTGGACCAGGGTCTCATGGGTGCTTGGCCCTGAGCTGTTTTTCGAGGCTATTGTTCGTGTGTAGGTTTTCTGTTTCAGTTGAAAGTGAATACTAGTTTGTTATTACCCATTGAGTAGAATCGCTCTAGGACTTAGCACTGTAATTTTGTGTTTTCTTTTCTGTGCTGTTTTGAAACAGAAATGTAGGTGTCAGACTTCATGGGCGACAGACAAACCAGAGAGCCGAGATCCATGTAAGTGCCAGATAATTGTGAGTCTGCCTGTCCTCCATGTGACGCAAGATCCGTCTTGTTCCCCTTCTTTATTGTCCAGATAGAAGGTATTGAAAGTCCACAAGAAACGCTTAGGCTAGCAGCAGTCTTCAGTCTCTAGAAGAGCTCTCGGATCATTTCACGTGGTTCCATGGGGGCATTGTAAGTGTAGCCTCTTCACATAGAGAAGACAGCATGGTGGTACAGAACAGTGCTTCAGGCTCAGAGCCCCCAGTGGGTAATGCCGAGAGTCGAGCATTTTCCACATAGCATGACCATGGACTTGTTTTTTCAAGGCAGCCTGCAAAGCCATCATGCAAGCCAGGGCTCAGAACATCAGCAAGCTGGTTCTTTACACAGACAGCATGTTCACCATCAATGGTAAGCCTTCCCGGGTACCAAGAAGGAAAACAGGCCTTTCTTCCTAGAAAGAGGTAGTGTCACAGTCCCCGGTGATGCTGGGCTTTTCAGGTTCAGAGGAATAGGAGTCTGGGTCTGCTGTCTTGGGGAGCAGGGCTCCTTGGCTCCATAACACCTGAGGTCAGGAAGTTAGTAACTATGGGTCACAGCATGCTTGTTCTGGGGCTGGGGTGGCTGAGCAGAAGCGCATGGAGCCCCTTGTTCCTCTGATTAGATCAGGGAGAGGAAAGGCAGGGAACCATTCAGGCTCTGACTTGGAATGAGAGGAGCCACTGTGAGGAGAGACGAGGGGCCAGGAGAAGCCAGGCCTTCCTGATGGATGAGTGTGAGCGTGTGATCCCTAGGGATAACCAGCTGGGTCCAGGGCTGGAAGAAGAACGGCTGGAGGACGAGCACGGGGAAGGACGTGATCAACAAGGAGGACTTCATGGAGCTGGACGAGCTCAGCCAGGGCATGGACATCAAGTGGGTGAGTCCACTGCGCATCACATGGCCTGAATTAGCTAAGAGGTGGGGTCGGGAAAGGGTTTGTGGCCAGGTTAAAGCAGCAGCTTCCACCAAGTCAATGTGTTAGCTGTGTTAGACACAGAATGGGTTTCACTGTGATGGCATCGAATGTGTACATCGTGTTTGGGGCGTACCCACCGCCACTTCTCCTCCTCTCATGGTTTTCTGTGTTTCCTGTGATGCAGTATGTTTAATCGGTTGTTCACAGGGGTGCAGAAGCATGGGCACCTTAGTAGTATCTACAGCCCTGAAGGAAGTCTATCCTCCCTCATAAAGCTTTAATCACCCAGAGAGTGGGGGGACCTCATGCACCCCTCCTGCATCGGGACAGTGTTGTCAGGTCCAGTTCTGGGCAGACCCTGTGCTGCTAACCACAGCGGTAGCCATGTCTCAATTCCACTCCTTTCCTTGGCTGTCATATTCTTCCCTCTTCTCCCATGATGTATCCTGCCTGAGCCGTGGAGCAGGTGACATTGGTGTCCCTCTTATAGCTGAGCACTCCACAGTCACTTATCTCAGGTCAATTATAGACCTGCAATCATTGCCACCCACTGCAGGAAAAAGAAACGGCAGCACTAATCTATGAGCAAACCACAGGCATTTAGCGAGACAGTAGTAGCTCTCCCACCGGGCCTGTGACTACCCAGCACACGACTTTCACAGGTTTGCAGCACCAGGTGTGAGTTCCTCCTGTGGGGTGGACTGGAACTCCATTCAGAAGGCAGATGGTCACCTCAAAACAGATTTGTCACTGTTACTCTAGTGGGTACTTCTTACCTGTCGGGTTGGTGTTATGGCATGTTTCTTCCCCAGCAACCTACACAGTGCCTTCCCAAGCTAGGAAAGCTAGCCAGCAGGGAGGCAGCTTCCAGATCAGTTTCAGGTTGATTTCTTTGTGTCCTGCAGCCAAGGAATGTGTTGTCTTCATCTAGTTTTGGTGCCCCCCCCCCAAGAACAGTGCAACAGCCTGTACTGTTTTGGGGACCCAGTGAATTTCTTAACAAAATAGTCTATATATTTTGTCATCTTGAGTATTGTGGTTGGGTGAGGCAGGCAGTTGTAGCCCAGGTTGGTTTCTTTCTTTTTTTTTTTTTTAAATTGTACAAACCCGAGCAGTTTATTTTTTTTAATATTTATTTATTATTTATTATGTATACAATATTCTGTGTGTATGCCTGCAGGCCAGAAGAGGGCACCAGACCCCATTACAGATGGTTGTGAGCCACCATGTGGTTGCTGGGAATTGAACTCAGGACCTTTGGAAGAGCAGGCAATGCTCTTAACCTCTGAGCCATCTCTCCAGCCCCCAGGTTGGTTTCTAATGAGCTGTGTAGCCAGGGTGGTCTCGATTGTGTCTCTGATCCTGCCAATGTTGATTGCAGGCTCATGCCACCTCCCCCAGTTTATGTGGCACTGAGGACGTCTCCCCAGACGAATACTCTACTAGCTGAGCTCCAGCCCTAGTGTCTTTTACCCACTTCCGAGGAGAAGAGGCGGGGCTGTGAACATGAGCTTTGTGGCACATGTAAACATCAGGAAAGATTAAAGGAGATTTTTATTTTAACAGATGCACATTCCTGGTCACTCGGGATTTGTGGGCAACGAAGAAGCCGACAGGCTGGCAAGGGAAGGCGCGAAGCAGTCTGAAAACTGAGCAAAGTGGTTGCTACACACTTGGACCCGAGGCAGTGACTGTGCATTTGCCCTGATGTGCTGTGGGGCCACAGCTGGAAGAGTCAACCATGACCTGTGACACAGCTTGATGAGAAGTGCTTAAATGATGGAAAGGGGAGGTTGAGCTCACATTTCTGGGAAGTTTCAGCCTTTGTACCTTGTGGGTCTGATATTCTTGTTTGATTTGTTGCAATCTGGCCCAAAATGTTCCAGCTTGATTTCAGTAGGGATCGGTGAGACACTGGTCAGTAGGTGTGGTCTAAAGGTTCCAGAATGTTTATTTTCCTTCCGATGTGCACAGGTACAAGCCTCCTGCCCTTGCAGGCACCCTGTGTCTTCTGTGTGCATCAGAGATGACATGGCCATGCGGGAGCCAAGGCTGGTCTGAGGCCAGGCAGAACCTGCGTCCAGGTGACCTTGGCTCCTGGAGCTGAGAACTTTAAAAATCAAGATGCATACATATATTGCTATTAGATTTCTTTGGCTGTTTTTCCTAAAAATACTATATAAATTTAAAACATGTTTAAAGTTATCCTTATTTATTTTTATAATAAAAATATACAGGAATTACACAAAATCATGCAGTTTATAAAGTTATTGTTAAAGGTACTATCTAAAACTAGAAATTGAGAAAATCAGTCTAGAGAAACAGGGTGGTCAGATTGTTCTTAGGCAGACCCTCATGGCCCTTAAGAAATGGGACGCTGTGCAGCCTTATTCTAGAGAAGACAGGGATGGCGGGGACACTGAGACAGTACTTGCACCTGTGCTGACTCTGAGTTCCTTAGACTGGGACTCTGGGCCATCTGCCAGAGCCCAGGGCAAGTGGAGTCATCTCGTGAAGATGTGATGTTTTTGATGTCACAGCAGGTCTCCAAAAGAACTCAACGGGGTGTTGGCCTGAGTGAGGCTGGGGTGACTGGTATCCATCTCTGCTGGCTTGGCGAGGGATCTGTGTAGTAAGGCCAGCGAGGGATCTGTGTAGTAAGGTCCTGCATGGAGGTGGGGGGATGGGTAACTGCATGTTTCATAAGCTTGAGGACCTGACCTGAGTTCAGACCCCAGCACCATGTAACCGGATGGGCATGATCAAAGCATGCTTGGAGTCCCAGCGCTGTGAGGGGTAAAGACTGCAGAGTTGCTGCTACAGCTTTCAGAACATCCAGCCTATCCAAAAATCTGAGCTCCATGTTCAATGGTAAGAGAACAGAGCAGAGACACCCAGTGTCCTGTGTCTTCAGATACACCTGCACACACATGCATTAGCACAGAGTCCTATATTAGAACCAGGTATGGGGGCACACACCTGTAATTTCAGGGTTTGGGAGTTCAAGTTTGGCTTAGACTATGTAGCAAGTTTGAGGCTAGCCTGGGCTACCTGAAACCATATCACCAAATGAAACCTCAACCTGGTTATCTGCGTTTCTTTAGTGGGGACTGAATGTAGAGTCTAGCATGGTAGGCAGGCACTCTACTACTGAGCTGCATCATCTCCGCTCGCACCGTGTGTGTAGGCTGCAGAGTATGCCACCTGTCTGTCTCATTCTCCACTTCTAAAAATTTTTATTAGCATATATGTAATAGGTTTTAGTAAATTTTCATATACACGCATAATGTATTTTGACCATTTTAACCACCCATAACTCTATCTTGTCTGCACTCCCCAGTGGTCCCTTTTCTGAACAAGCCCCTTTCCACTGATAACTTCTGAAAGTTGTTTTATAGAGTGCAAAGGCCTTGATACAGGCTTGATGTGAAGATTGGCTGGAGGACAGAAGCCAGCTCTCCAGATGTGTTTTACACAGTCTGGGGCCATCCTCAAACCCTGGGATAATACACCGCCAAGGATTCTATCACATGAGAAGTCTCACGACACTGTTGCAAATTGGACTGTACTCTAAGGGTGTGGGATTCATAGAATTGCTTTTGGAAATAGATCAAAGTTCAGTTGGTCAGTCTACATACCGTGTCCCATGGCAGGGTGCATACTACAGCTGGAACGTGTGTCCTCAAGAAAAGCCTTCCTTTTTCACTTAGGTGTGTGTGTCTGTTAGTGCTGGTGTTCCCCAAGACCAGAAGAAGGGGATTGGATCCGCAGGAGCTGTACTTGTAAACCACCCATTGTGGGTGCTTGGAACTGACCTTGGATCTGTCTGTAAGAGCAGCAAGCACTTGGCCATCATCCTCTCCAGCCCCACAGCATCTTGTTTTGTTAGAAACAGTCTCTCTCATTGGATCTAAAACTCATTGATTCAGATAGACCGGCAAGCCAAGCTCCAGTAATCCACCTGTCCCGACCTCCCCAGTGCTAGGATTATGGGTGCAGGCAGCTGTGCCTAGGTTTTTTGTAGTGTATGTGTGAACGCACACATGATCCTGTATGTTTTATCATCCTGTGTGCAGGTTTTTATGGAGGTGTGTGGTGGGTGTTTTCTCATCCTGTGTGTAGGTTTTTATGGAGGTGTGTGGTGGGTGTTTTCTCATCCTGTGTGTAGGTTTTTATGGAGGTGTGTGGTGGGTGTTTTCTCATCCTGTGTGTAGGTTTTTATGGAGGTGTGTGGTGGGTGTTTTCTCATCCTGTGTGTAGGTTTTTATGGAGGTGTGTGGTGGGTGTTTTCTCATCCTGTGTGTAGGTTTTTATGGAGGTGTGTGGTGGGTGTTTTCTCATCCTGTGTGTAGGTTTTTATGGAGGTGTGTGGTGGGTGTTTTCTCATCCTGTGTGTAGGTTTTTATGGAGGTGTGTGGTGGGTGTTTTCTCATCCTGTGTGTAGGTTTTTATGGAGGTGTGTGGTGGGTGTTTTCTCATCCTGTGTGTAGGTTTTTATGGAGGTGTGTGGTGGGTGTTTTCTCATCCTGTGTGTAGGTTTTTATGGAGGTGTATGGTGGGTGTTTTCTTCTGGTGCTCTCCACCTTAATTATTTTGAGATAGGGCACTACTATATGGCAGCCCTGGCTGGTCTGGATCTCTGGATTTGTACACCAAGATGGCCTTAAACGCAGAGATCACTTACCTCTTTGTGCTAGGGTTAACGCCTAACCCAGCCACTTTGTATTTGATGCTGGCTCACTGAACCTGGAGCTCACCAATTTAGCTAGAGTGTCTGGTTAGCAAGCCCTAGTAATCTGCCTGTCTCCTCCCCAGTGCTGGCATTATAGGCACATGTAGCCATGCCCAACTTTTGCCCAGGTGCTAAGAATCTGAACTCAGGTTCTTGCATTTGTGTGGTAAACACTTTATTGACTGAGCCGTTTCTTCAGCCTGTGTCTGACTTTCTATGTGGGTCTAGGAATCCAAACTGGGATTCTCCTGCTTGTGTATGTATGCGCCACCACTGCAGTTTGAGAATGTGAGATCTTGGCTTTTCCTGCTGCCATGCCTGGTTCTGACTGCCATGCTTGGTTCTGACTGCCATGCTTCCCCATTGTGATGGTGATGTATTCATCCTTCTGGAACCCTAAACCCCAATTAAATCCTTCCATCTTTGCCTTGGTCACAATGTTTTCTCATGGCAATAGACAAATACAGTGTGTGTTGTTGGGGAGGCATGCCTGGTGCCAGAGGAGGCCAGAACCATGGTACAGGTAGTTGTGAGCTGCCTGAAGTGGGTGCTCTGGTCCTCTGCAAGAGCAGCAAGTGTTCTTAACTGCTGAGTCATCTCTCCACAGCTGCATCGCATGGTGACTTTTCAAAAGGGGGAGACCTGAGCTGGTATGCACCCCCTCCTTAGATGCACCTGCCCCTTACCTACCAGGTGTGACCTATCCATATTGGACTTCCCAATCTCCTTAACTGTGAAATAAAATTCCTTTTTTTTTTCCCCCAAATGAAGTATTTAATCTACTCTAGGCCTGGTGGCACAAGCCCGAGGCAGGAGGATGTCAAATTCAAGATTAGCCTGAGTCACTTAGAGTCTTGTCTCAAACATTAAAAAGAGGGCTGGGCTGGGTCCGTGGTGCACACGCCTTTAATCCTAAGCACTTGGGAGGCAGAGGCAGGCGGATCTCTGTGAGTTCGAGGCCAGCCTGGTCTACAAGAGCTAGTTCTGGGACAGGGACCAAAGCTACAGAGAAACCTTGTCTCAAAACACCAAAAATAAAATAAAAAGAGGGCTGGGAATAGGGTTCAGTTGTAGAGTTCTTGCCTGGTGCAGGAGGTCCTGGTTCAATCCCTGGGACCATGATGAAAAGGAACCCTTAATTGGCGGCTGTCATGCTGCACAAAATGAGCTGACAGGGTGGTTGTGCTGGGGATTGCACTAAGGGTTCTATGTTTTATACAAGCTAGGAAAGTACACAGGCATTTGGATTTGGTTCTTAATGTAATTAATGGCAGGAGTATTGTTCAGGAAAGCAACCGCCTCTTGAAAGCCTGTATTATAACTGCTGTGGCACACCTCCTTTTCCCCCCTTCCCCTTCCCTGCTAATTGCCTTGCACTTCCCAGGCAAGCAGCCCCATCGCCTGCTGAGGACGCTCACTCCACTCCTTCCTGTACTCAGCTCTCTCCCCACCATCTGGCTAATTGCCAGTCTCCTGGCACTTCCCACTCAGGTGGGATGGCTGAGTGCCTTCGGGAGAGCACTGGGTGAGCTGGGTCTCTCAACCCTCACTGTTCAGGCTGCATTTCTGTGATTATCTCTTGGCAATCCCAGCCTTGAAAACCACATCACTGAGTTCAATCTACATCCTCCAGCTTCTGTGTGCTGGACAGCCATGGAAATTCTTTGTTCTTTCTTCCCTCGGCAGAGCCCTGTTTCACCTGGTGATGAAGCTTTGCCTGCTGCTTACACATTCCTGTCCCGTGTCCTCTGGACACCTGGTCCCCAGGATGCTCTCCTTGTCACTGCCCTCCCTGTCTGTTTACCCTCTCCCTGGATGTGGCTTGAGTCCCAGTGTATGCAGGAGGTATCTCTGTGTGCTGAGTTATCAGGCCCAAAGGAAACTCCATTTCCCCAAATCCCAAAAGGCAGAAGGGACAAGGGCTGTCTGGCTGACTCCGGCTGACCTTGGTGTCTATTAGCATCTAACTGTGGTGCCTATTAGCACACCAAAGAGCATCACCAGGCTCCCCAGCTCTTCTCACCTCCCCAACCCTGGATTTCTCAGCTCACAGATTCCCTTTCCCCAGCTGTTCAGTTCTCCTTACAGCCTTGCTCCATCTGTCTGTCTCACTGTCTGTCCACTTCCTTCCTTTCTGTTCTCCCGAGCTCTTCCTGTCTCTACTCTGCTCCTGCTTTTCCCATGACCAGGTCCAGTCTGTTGGCCATGCTCAGTCTACTCCTTTCTCTGCGCTGGACTCTTCCAGGTGTGGAGCTGGTACTTTCTTTGGGCCGCCAACCAGCTCACCAATAAAGACATGGAGACATTAATTATGAATGCTCAGCCGTGGTATGGGCTTGTCCCTGTAGCTCTTTCAGTTTAATTTAACCTGCTTCTGTTTATCTACATTTTGCCTCGGGGCTTTTTACCTCTCTTTCATTCTGTATGCCCTACTTTCCTGATTCCTCTATGTCTGCCTCTTTTCTTTCTTCCTTGAACCTAAATTCCTCCTCCTACTTACTTTCCCTGCCTGGAAGTCTCACCTATACCTCCTCCCTTGCTATTGGTCATTCAGCTTTTTATTAGACCAATCAGGTGCCTTAGGCAGGCGGGGTAAAACAGCAACACATCTTTACATAGTTAAATAAGTGCAACACATGTCTGCATAGTTAAACAAGTATTCTGCATCACGGGTGACTCATTCTGCTCTCTCTCTCTCTCTCTCATCTACAACAGAGACCTTCTACTTAACCATTCCAATCATGTCAGTTTATACCGTGTGAATTCACAGGGTACTCAGGGCCTCTCCAGGTCTGGCAAATGGTAAGCTACAGTCCTGGGAGTCGTTATCTTCAGCATGAGGCCACAGGTCCTTTCCACGATGTCATATTCATGTGTGAGGCAGATGGTCTAGGATGGCTTGATGTAAGTAACTTGACAGTTCAGGATGAACAGGACCTGGAGGTGGGAAAGGTTGCCCTGATTTCAAGCTCAGAAAATTTGCAGGGAAGCCTGTCAGGTGGATTAGTAGGTAAAGTAGCCTGAGAACCCACACTCCATCCCTGGGACCCACATGGTGGAAGGAAAGAACATATTCTTAAACTGTCCTCTGACCACATACATGCCATCACATAAGTGCCTCCATACATGTAGACACACACACAGACATGCACACACACACACACACACACACAGAAACATAGAGAAGCACACATTTAGTCTAAATGTTCCTTAAACAATTGCACTGGGTTTGAGTTGCACACATCCCATTAGGGAATTGTACAGCTGGTTTTGTGTGTCAACTTGACATAAGCTAGAGTCATCAGAGAGGATCTTTGATGTGGGAGGGTCTTTTTGTGTTGATTTCATTGGTTAATAAAGAAACCACCTTGGCCGTTTGATAGGCCAGCCCTTAGGTGGGTGGAGTAGACAGAACAGAATGCTGGGAAGAAGGGAAGTGGGTCAGATGTGATGAAGCTCCAACCCAAGATGGACATAGGCTAGAATCTTCCTGGTAAGTCACCACCTCGTGATGCTACACACATTAATAGAAATGGGTTAATCAAGATGTGAGAGTTAGCCAAGAAGAGGCTAGATATAATGGGCCATGCAGTGTTTATATGAATACAGTTAGTGTGTTGTTATTTCGGGTGTAAAGTTAACCATGCGGAAGCCGGGCGGGATGAAAAGCAGGCCTGCCCTCAGCTCCTTCTACAGATCCTCACCTGAGGAAATGTCGCCTTGAGAGCCGGCTGTGAGGCATTTTTCAATTAGTGATCAGTCCATGGGGGGTGGTGCCATCCCTGGACTGGTGATCCTGGGTTCTATAAGAAAGCAGACTGAGCAAGCAATGGGGAGCAAGCCAGTAAGCAGCACCTCTCCATGGCCACTGCATCAGCTCTTGCCTTCAGGTTCCTGCCCTGCTTGAGTTCCTGTCCTGAATTTCTTCAGGGATAAACAGCATATCTACACCACAGTGTAAGTCTAATAAACCCTTTCTTTTTTTTTTTTTTTTTTTTTAAACCCTTTCTTTTTTAACTTGCCTTTTGGTCATGGTGTTTCGTCGCAGTAATAGAAACCCTAACTAAGATAGGAACAAAAAATATTTTTCTTCATATGAATATTTTTTTCAGTGGCTACCAAGATGTTGGGGTGTTGTATTGTTTACTTTTGTATGTTGTGAATCAATTCTTTACAAAAACTATGTACGGAAGCATTTTATTTTGGCTCATGGTTTGAGATGGTACTGTCCATTGTGGCAAGGAAGCCATGGTAGCAGCTGGCCATTGTCTCTGCAGTGAGTGAGAAGAATGCTGGCACTAAGCTTGGCTTCTCACTTCAGGCTCTTAGCCCAGTCCAGACACACGCCTTCACAAACACAACAAGAGGTGTGTCCCAAATGCCATTTTTGTTGTTTGGCCCTTGCATGTCTGGTCAACAGCAGCTGGATAGCAGGTGGCTCAGGTCAGGATAAAGAAGGCCTCAGATGCTCCAATGGAGTCACTCCCGGTTTGCCCCTCTGATGCCAGTCCGTGGGGGCAGTTTTAAACACACTGTGTCTCTGCTGTAGGTTGAATCTACTCCCCTAGGATTTAGACACCTCCTGTCGCATCTGTAGCCCCACGGGGCTGTCAGGATGCTGCTTGATGAGGACTGTGGAGGCTGAGAGCTCTCTGGAGAAAACACTGTGACAGGAAGGAAATGTCAGAGCAGGCACCCTTCATCAGCTGGAGGGCTCTTGTTTACATTCCATCCTTTGCAATCAGCATCTCGCTAGAATTGTGCCTGTGCACTCGCTGCTCAGTCCTTCCCATGCCTAAGGGCACACACCTGACAGGGTTTTATAACCGGCTGGCTTTTAGTTGCTGAAATGAGTTACTTGACCCAAAGAGTCCCAGCTTGCAGTGGGCCTACCTAGCCCTCTTGAAAAGTAGCCCTGAATCTGGGGTGGCCTTCATGGAAGATGAACAGAGTACCTATATCCAAATCTCCTCAAATGGTGGGAAGCAAGAAGGTGGCAAAATAAGAGAAGTGTGTCATCTCTGAACTGCAGCAGAGAGAGCACCTAGAGTAGCCACTACTGTAGGAAGTCAGAGGTATCCTAAAGGGTTTTTACAGACTGCCAGGGCTGGAGGAAGAGAAATGACACCACTCTGAGGTCACTGGGGTAGTGACAGAAGGCTGCCACAGTGACGGGGAGGCCAGGATGAGGATGCTCATTTTGTTGAGAGAAATGTTCAATTTCCATCAAGCTGATGGGCCCTGTAGCAAGAAAGACAGGCTGGAGGGGGGAGAGTGCAGTTCCTGGGGTTTCTCTTTTTAATTTGTATTTTTATGTGTATGCATGTTTTGCTGAAATGTATGTTTGTGTACCATGTGTATGCCTCTCTGAGGCCAGAAAGAGGGTATCAGGCTCCCTGGGACTGGAATTAGAATTTGTAAACCACCAGCAGCAAATGCTGTTAACCACTGAGCAATCTTTCTAATCCCACTTTGAGTCTTACAAGTTAGGGTGCCCACAGTGAGAAGCCCCACAGTGCAGAGGATTGATATTGGACTCTATAGAGGCTGAGGCTAGGGGCAGAGACGGCTTTGCCACCTCAGACTCATAATATGGGGTGTTAGCTCTTCCAGTGTGGAGACCTGCTGGTCATTGACACTGGCTGCCAGGTACCTGCAGGGTGAGACCCTGTCACCATGAGAACTGCTCTATGAAATTCCACCTGCATAATCCACCTTCTGTACCAGTTATTCGTACATCCCATGTTTGTTAGGATTGGGCTATCCGATTCCTGAGTACCTACTTCACTTGGTCTTGGGTTTCTGCTTTCCTTCCATGGCCCCATTCCCCAACGCCACAACATGGGGTTTATCACAGCATATTTTAGGGAATATTCAGAAATAGTAGATGCCATGATGCCTCCCAAACAGCAAAATGTTTTCTCATCATTGAACAGTCTTCTTTTTCACCGCAGGTGGTTAGACTATCATTTCACATGTTGGGAAGTAGAGAGGCCATTGGACTAGAAGTGGTCACAAGAGTGAAGCCTAAAAGTGTCAGCAACTTTATACTAATGCACGTTTGTTTGTTTATTAGCTTCTTTTTTTAAAAGAATATTTATCTATTATGTATTCAATATTCTGTCTGTTGGTCTACAAGAGCTAGTTCCAGGACAGGAACCAAAAGCTACAGAGAAACCCTGTCTCGAAAAATCCAAAAAGAAATAAGAAAAAGAAAACAATATTCTGTCTGCATGTATGCCTACAGGCCAGAAGAGGGTACCAGGCCTCATTACAGATGGTTGTGAGCCACCATGTAGTTGCTGGGAATTGAACTCAGGACCTTTGGAAGAGCAGGCAATGTTTTTAACCACTGAGCCATCTCTCCAGCCTCTGTTTATTAGCTTCTTAAGACAAGGTTTCTCTGTATAGCCCTAGCTGTCTTGATCTCACTCAGCAGACCAGGCTGGCCTCGAATGCAGAGATTTGCTTGCCTCTGTCTCTCAAGTGCTGGATTTAAAGGCTTGTGTCACCACCACCCAGCCTTGTAGTGACATTTCATTTGTATTTTAATAAATAAAGCTTGCCTGAAGATCAGAGAGTAAAACAGCCCCACGGGTCAGCCTTACAGACATGGCAGTGGTGACACACACCTTTAACCCCAATAGACACATTAGTTTGTCATAGAAACCAGGCAGTAGTAGTACACATCTTTAATCCCAGAGCTAAAGAGGATTATAATACAGGAGGAGACAGCTCTCAGATACAGTCTCATTCTGAAATTCCTGGAGGCAGGATCACCCTTTCAGACTGAGGTAGTGGTAAGAGCCAGCGGCTGGCTGTTTTGCTTTTTCTGACCTTCAGGTTGAACCCCAATATCTGTCTCTTGTTTCTTATTAGTTGTGATACACAACCTTTTTTTTTTTTTTTTTGTGATACAGGGATTCATGAAGCTGACCAGACTGGGCTCAAACTCATAGAGAGCCACCTGCCTCTGCCTCTGCGTGTGGGAATTCAAGGTGTGACCTATCACACCCAGGACAGTTTCAGGAAAGGATGAAGAGACCTGTACTTTCTTTCACGTGACCCGGAAATATTGCGTTGCATGTTTGGGAGACAGAGAGATCCTGGCTCTGAGGAAAAATGGCCTCTCATCAGATGTTTGGGTTGATTTTTGTTCTAGGAGCTGATTGAGATCATTCATCATCTTGACGATATGCCCCTGCTTTTCTTCTAGAAAAAGGCCTAGAGTTATACTGAAGTCATCCATGTTTCCTTCAGAGACGTATTATTAGTATCAAGAGGCAGGATTTTCTTTTAATTAGTTTGAAGAAAACTTTACTGAGCATGGCCTCCAAGCAACTGTTTCTAGGCATGGCTTCTTTGTTAAGATGTCTGGCCCCTTACTCTTCTTTTCTCAGTTAAGAAAATTTATATGCACACGTGGCTTGTTTCTTAACACACAGATAACTTAAAAATCTTATTGGACATTTTCAAACACAGATTAATAAAGAAGAACAGTTTGATGAATAGCTGTCACCCAGCTTCGACAATCTCAACATTTGATATCTTTGAGTGGCATTCTGGGATTGTTCCCCCTTTGAGCCGGAGGCAGGAATACACTCATCTCCTGCCTGGTAGGCACTTGTTGGGTTTCCTTGATGCACAGGCTCCATGTCAGTCTCACCGATTCCCTTTTCCATGTCTTCTGGTTAGCCATGCTTATTTATAGATGGGCCCTTGAGTTTCACAGTGTGCTTTTATTTGTCGACAGAGCCAGCTCCTGTACCCCAGAGTCTCACGTAGCTTCCAGCCATCGCTGCATCTTCAATTAGGTATTATGTCCCCCCCACTCCCCCGCCCCCCCTTAGCATTTTCTATTTCCCACAAAGCCCTCCGGGCTCTTCCATTTTGAAGACATTAATTCAGTTCTGACCTTAACATGGAAAGTAGTTTGAACCTGGGTTCCACAATGGGTAGGCTCCACATTTTTCTGGCTGGATCTGAGGAGAACTGGCCATGAAGAGGGCCTGATGACCCAGGCCAGCTGGAGTTCTGCTTGCCTCCCATGTCCCTTAGTCCCTGTCTTACTAGGAACACAGAAAGCAAGAGGCTTGGACAGGTTGGCAGTGGGCAGGGATATTTACTTTGTAATGCCTCTCTTTGCCCTCTCCTGCCTGATGTTGACCCCAGCTGGCTGCTTAGAGCTCTTCCCCAGTTCTAGAGGTATGTTTTTTTTTTTCTTTTTACTTTAGCCAGGCTTACTGGAATTTTCCGGAAGACCGAATGCCGGATGTTACATAAAGAGCCCTTCCTCTGAGTTACAAGTGGTAAAGGCAGCTACTGGTGGCTGTCAGGTGGTTTGCATCTGTCCCCAAAGCTCACGTGTGGGAAGTTCATGCTGGTCCTCAGCATGGAGGTGGTGGGACCTTTCACAGGCCACGAGGGGGCACTGTCCTCAGAAGAACTCCTGTAGCTATCTCTAGACCCCACATACTTCCAGTGAGAGCCGGTGATAAAACACCTTGGCTCTGTCACATCTCTGGCTTCCCACATAGTCTCTCCCTCAGACATGTTCCCACCATGGTGCTGTCTGCTGTGAAGTGACCACGGATGTTCCTTTCCAGAGGCCCAGCTGACAAGGCTGGTGAGACCTGGACCCCCAACCCACCCATGTGTGACCTCAATAATCCTTTTCCTCATAAAAAACAGAGGCGCAGGGCAGTGGTGGTGCACACCTTTAATCCCAGCACTTGGGAGGTAGAGGTGGGCAAATCTCTGTGAGTTGGAGGCCAGCCTGGTCTATGAGAGCTAGTTCCGGGACAGGCTCCAAAGCTAGAGAAACCCTGTCTTGAAAGACCAAAAAAAAAAACAAAAAACAAAAACAAAAAAAAAAACAAAACAAAAAACCCAAAACAATCACTGACTGAAGAGAAGGTAAAGAAACCCAGGATCCTTGTTTGATAAACGTTCCTTGTTGTTCCATTTCTTGGGTTCCTCCTGGACTTGCCATAAAGTCAGCATAACAAGACTGCTGCACATTAAGGCAAAACGACCGATCTTTGTCAACATTGTGGAGTGGAGTCCTTTAAAAGTGGTCTTTGTAGATAGGAATTCTTTTGTTAGAAAGCTAAATGAATCCTTAACCGTTTAGCTCAGGAATCTTGACCAGGAAATAGAGAAGCATATAATGTAAATACAGCAGAAGGAACTGAGGCTTTGTTTAGTTCTGAGAGTCATGAATACTGCCTTACTGGGTCCTTTTGTCATTTCTCTTTGTATATAGACCCCATATTGAAATACATGCTAATTCATTGATTTTAGTGTTTATACCATGAACTCACAAAGCAATTGATGCTGATTAGTTTCTGTAATAAAGAACTCTTGTTTTTAATGTTTTATAAAAAAAAAAAAAACCAAAACAAAAACAAAAAAAAAACCCAAAAAACCAAAACAAAAACATATCCTTAGGTTTTGTGTTATAGTAATGAATGGGAAATGAGTTAATGCATTAACTTAATTAAAATACATAATTAATTTAATAAATTAGCCACCACATAGAGAAAAGACTTGAGGGATGGAGAGACGTGTGTGTGTGTGTGTGGGGGGGGGGGGGGGAGACAAGATAAGATACAAGGAGGGAGAGAGAAAGGAAGGGAAGAGAGATGGAGACAGATCTGTTAACATTTCACGAGCAGCTCCCAGCCATGGCGAAATCCCTTGTTATCCTCCTCAGGTGTGCAAATTGAAAAAACTTGGCAGTCCTGCCGTCTGCCTCCTAAAGTGTCCAAACAGTAAGGACAAAAAACAGGGCTCTCAAAGCGTGGTGAGGCTTGGCGTGTTGGCGCAGAGCCAAAGCAATGAAATAATGGAGGCCACTGGAGGCTCAGCTGTCTGTTCCCAATGCCAGGCAAATCACGTGACTGGCTTCCTAGGGGCCACTGGGCTTTTCACACCTGTTAAAGAAGATAAAAATAAGACATTTTTTTCCCCAAGTGGAGATAGTTTTATGTGTGCAAATATGCAAAAACAGAACGGTCAGAGAGCTGGTTGAGAGGTTGGAGCACCGCCTGCAGTGCCCGAGGTCCTGAGTTCGATTCCCAGGTAAGTAAGTAAGTAAGTAATGTAATGTCTGTGTGTGTGTGTCTGTCTGTGCTGTGTGACTGTGTGAATGAGGCTCTGCATGCATAATTAATTGGAAAAAAGGTTTTAGGCCGGGCAGTGGTGGTGCACGCCTTTAATTCCAGCACTCGGGAGGCAGAGGCAGGTGGATCTCTGTGAGTTCGAGGCCAGCCTGGTCTACAAGAGCTAGTTCCAGCACAGGAACCAAAAAGCTATGGAGAAACCCTGTCTCGAAAATTCAAAAAAAATCAAAAAAAATATATGCCAAAACAGAATATGACTTTATTGTTTATAACATTGCTGGAGAGAAGAGGGGATGTGACTAGAAGGGAATTTGAATAGCAGTTCCTAAAAGAACATAACCAGCAACTGCAAGTTTCTTGTAAACGGCCATGGGGTAGTCCAATGACGTTAGACTTTTTCAGTTTTTTCCTAATGTATTTGTTTTTGTTTGCTTCCTTCCAGCCATTGTCTTCCTAGGTAGCCTGGCCTGGTATGGAGCTTGCTATTTAAACCTGGCTGGCCTCAAACTCGCAGAGACCCATTTGCCTCTGCCTCCATTAAAGGTGTGTTCTCCCATGCCTGGGTTTTAAATACAGGTTAATGATGGAGGAAGGTAGCCGGGTGGTGGTGGACGCCTTTAATCCCAGCACTCGGGAGGCAGAGGCAGGCGGATCTCTGTGAGTTCGAGACCATCCTGGTCTACAAGAGCTAGTTCCAGGACAGGCTCCAAAACCACAGAGAAACCCTGTCTCGAAAAACAAAAAAACAACAAAAAAAAAATGATGGAGGAAGGTCATTGGTTAAAAAAATAAAGAAACTGCTTGGCTGGCCCTCATAGCTTAGAACATAGGTGGGTGGAGTAAACAGAACAGAATGCTGGGAGGAAGAGGAAGTGAGCTCAGAGACTCCACAGCTCTCCTCTCGGGAGCAGACGCCTCAGAGAGACGCCATGCTCCCAGCTCCCAGGCAGACGCACGCGATGAAGCTCTGACCCAGGATGGACATAGGCTAGAATCTTCCAGGTGAGCGCACCTAGGGGCACTACACAGATGATTAGAAATGGGCTAAATTAATATGTGAGAATTAGCCTAGAAGAGGCTAGAAATGGGCCAAGCAGTGATTAAATGAATACAGTTTGTGTGTTGTTATTTTGGGCATAAGCTAGCCAGGCAGCCGGGGTGCTGGGAACGCAGCCCCGCTGCTCCTATTTCTACAGGTTAACATTTACTGAAATTGAATTATAGGGGGATTTTCTACCAACAGATTTCTTCCCTCTCAGGCCCCTTTCTCGTTTGCTGGAACCTTCTCTTCTTCACTCTCACCCAGATGCAGAGGCCAAGATTCTCATGAAAGAAATACATGTTTTTTTTTTTAAATTCTTTTTAAATGTTATAATTTTTTTAAATTTATTTATTTATTATGTATACAATGTTCTGTCTGTGTGTATGCCTGCAGGCCAGAAGAGGGCACCAGACCTCATTACAGATGGTTGTGAGCCACCATGTGGTTTGCTGGGAATTGAACTCAGGACCTCTGGAAGCGCAGCCAGTGCTCTTAACCTCTGAGCCATCTCTCCAGCCCCTAAATTTTTTTTAAGTTGTTTTTACTGAGCTATATATTGTTCTCTGCTCCCTTCCTGTCCTCTCCCCTCCCCTTCTACCCTCTCCCACTAATCCCCATGCTACCAAATTACAAGGAGATCTTGTCTTTTTCTACTTCCCATGTAGATTAGATCCATGTCTTAGGGTCCTCATTGTTGTCTAGGTTCTCTGGGATTGTGAATTGTAGGCTGGTTTTTCTTTGCCTTATGTCTAAAAGCCACTTATGAGTGAGTACATGTGATATTTGTCTTTCTGGGTCTGGGTTACCTCACTCAATATGATGTT